TCTAGACCAGTAGCTTTTTTGAACCGAGAGCTACTTTTAAAGTGGCCAGTCTGCCGAGATCTACCAGTCCAAATAGAGAGGCGTAGCCATTAGTGACAGCCTACTACCAGGTAAATACACACTTCTACTTGTATAAAACTGACCTTTGTACGATGAATACTTCATAAAATACTGCAGATCCTTTATCTTACCTCTTTCTAATCTACACACATACAAGTATTTAACTGAAGTTACACAACAGTGTTGTTGATACAGAGTTGGAGTTTATTCACACGTCACATACTACAGTGTGTCATGTTTTCAAGAAACATTGAACAGTGCTGCCACATATGACACAGGAAAAAAAGAAAAGACACTGAACCCTTTCTTTGCCATTACATGTATATAAAAATAGTGTTGCTACAAAAGTATAAATTAGGCTTACTAATAAGACAACTCAGATCTGTAGCTACACAGGAATCTGCTGCCAAAGTGCAATAAAAAAGACAAAATTAATAGAATCAAACCCTTTTTGTTGCATTTTAGTAGAGTATAAAAAGAAATGCCTTTAAAATAGGATGCAAGCAACACAAGTTTCTTAACCTGAATTGATAATAGACTATAATCAATTTAAACAGAACAGATCTTAATGTTTGCATTCTTATATCATTTTGTACAATAATTATAATGAATAAGTTCAAACAAACTAAAACTTACAGCTGATTAATAAGGTATCTAACTTGAGTTTTTATTATATCCAGTGTTTCCCATATATACAAATAGTGCTGCTGCTGAAATATGCGCGCCGCTGCTAGGGGGCGCCAGCCAGTTACCCAAAAAAAAATACTTTTTCATTTTTGATTGTTTGTTATGTGGATTTGTAGTATTTATGTTACTGTATGTTCAATAAAGGTGTATTTTTGCAAAATCTTGAGACATTGCCACTGTATGTACTAGGCAGGGCCGATTTTTGGCATAGGCCCTATATAATAGGCACCAGATCTGGGGGGCGCTGCGCTGGTAGCTCTGGGAGGGGAAAAAACCTTTTTGACCGTTGGTGCTCATCCAAATTTTTGGCCTTGATGTAACAACATTCATAATTAAGTAAATGTAACACCCTTTTCACCCCGGTTACACTTTTCATTTGCCCTGTACGATGGGCGCTGTAAGTGATGAAAGTGTGGGATGTTGGCTTATCAGGCGCCCGCAGCTCACAGCTAAAGTGCGAGCGTGGGAGCGAGAGAGCGAGCGAGGGAGAGAGAGAGGGCGCACCGGTACCGGCGTTGTTGTTATTAGAATCTGGTGCTAGCTGCGCTAACGGATATAAGAAGTAGATGTTTCTACAACCAGGGTGGAGGAGAGCTCTCCTGTCAGACTGAGAGGCTCAGTGAGGTAAAGGACTCTCTGAGTGTTTAGATAATTAATTTTAGTCTAAGTTATCTCAGTGGGTCTCAAACGTTTTGACCACAAATTATGTAAACACATATTTCCAAGGCACTCCTTTATAATTATTAGGATAAATAAAAACAGGTTTGAAATCATTCCAATGCATACTATAGGAGAGTAAACCAAAAATATCGTTTAAAGTTGGAGAGATACAAAAATATGCATAAATAAATAAATGTTAACTAGGTAAAATAAGATATGAATGAACAACAAAAATAAAATAAGTTACATTTATTTGTTATTGGCTATGGTAGGTTATTGGTTATGTTCATATACTTATTTGATTATTAAAATGTAAACTGATATTTTTCATATGGGTGTTTTAGAGTTGTACCCCCTAGATCACGTCTCTAGTAATTCTGCTCAAAGTGCACCAGATTGAAGCATTTTAGTTTAAAATGTTCAAAAAAATCTTCCCGGGGAGGCATACCCCCGGACCCCCCTAGAGGATGTGACGTCCACCTCCCAATTAAAACATGTTCTTACAATACTGAATACATTTGAAGCCATTTTGACGTATATTACCTATGTCAATAAGTTTCTGTTTTTGTAGTGTATTTGTCTTTTGTAGAGATTTTTCATTTATTCTTTATATATAAAATCTCGCCTAGGGCAGCAAATTGGCTAGAACCGGCCCTGGTACTAGGCCTCAAGAGCCTTTCTTGTGCTGGCAGACACATAGAAACAAATTGACGGGGCGCACTTCGCACATACATTATGCTGGGCCCACGTGCCTTAGCACCGCTGCTATGACTCCATCCTAGGGGAAACACTGATATGAAAAACCTGTTGAAATGCTACTGTTATTTTCACTGTCCCCAAAAGCGCGTCGGCAGCCTCCAGGAATGCTTCTTTCACAACTTCGCCGTCTTTGAAAGACTTCATGTGTTTCGCAAACCCTGACTGACACGATAAGATGCTATGGTAGCAGCCTTGCTCTTGTTGTTGGGCCTGGTGAAAATTGACTGCTGTGCATTTAGCTGTCCTTTCAGGTCCCTCACCTTTTGGGAGCGTAGGGCAGAATTACCCCTAGATTCCACCGGGTCCGTCTGCGTCACGTCACGGCTGCGCCGCGGTTTTGGCCCGGCCTCCTCCGGCGTCATACCCTACCGGGCGCGTTTCAGAAGCATTTCAGAAGCGGAGCGTCTTGTCTGCCGGCTCGCAGTTTTTGTTGATTTGGGCATATTTCCTGGACAGGCTACTTTGTACAGACAAAGTTAATAATAACTGTAATATCCCAGTTATAAACGACATGAATCAAAGATGTGTTGCTGTATTTTAGTGGTAAAAAAATGCATTCATCATCACGACGCAGACGGACCCGGTGGAATCTAGGGGTTAGGAGGGAATTCCGTCTCGTAGCGTTTGTGCACTGTTTTGAAATGCCGCTCCTAAATTACCCTTCTTCGATAAAGCCACGCTCGCATTGCAGATGAGACAGATGGACTTTGAATTGGAATAGATACAAAAATAATCATCCTCCCACTCGGAGTGAAAATTATATATTTTGGGCTTTTTTGCTTCTGCCATAATTGCGGTCTTGTGTGTGTGCGGACTGTCACTCCTGTTGACACGGACAACGTCAGCTAACTAGTGCCCACTGCCCACCAGCCACGCCCCGACATATGGGGTCACGCCAATCACAAAGCTTTGATGCGTTCAAGTGCATTATTCTGGCACAGGAAGATTATGTAATAGGACATTAACGATAAAACAGAATATTGTTGTTCTATTTTTAGACACATCTCGCGATTGACTGGGAATCTCCCCGCGATCGACCGGTTGGGCACCCCTGGCCTAATCCTTCCCCAGGAATTTATTCCGGTGTGAACGCGATCTGTACTTAGTTCATGAGAACTAAAGAGTTCTCATGAACTAAGTTCTCATGAACCTTTGTGGATCGACTGGTTGGGCACCCCTGGTGTAGACCAACATTACATACATACATTTTGTCCAGTATTGTTAAAGAATTAGTCACATTTAATCCAAAAAATTGTTATGTGGGATGGAATTGCTACCTTCCTTCTTTATCTGGGCTTGGGACTGGCAAAGTGACCCAAAAGAGACACACTGCAAGCCAGGGCGGGATCAGCGATGGCTTTGCGCATGCTCGATTAATATTCAGTCTGGACCATGGTCTGGACGCGTAGTGTGTCTCTTTTGGGTCACTTTGCCACCTCTCTGCTCGAGTGCAGCTGCCGCGCGAGGCTGTGAGACGGCGGAGGGGCTCAGCACCCGCTGCTCGTTGAGGAAAGTAACTGCGTAACAATTACGTGCTATCACGTCAGATTCTCCAAACACCAGAAAGTCTCCAATAACACCAGAAAAAGTAGCTGAATTTGTCGCTAGTCGCTTTTGACAAAAAAAAGTAGCCGGAGGGTTTGGAAAGTTGCCCGATTTAGCAAGAAAGTCCCCAAGTTGGCAACACTGGTAATGAGTGACCCGACAGTGAAGAATAAATATATTTATAACTAGTTTAGCTTGTTCCAGAGGTAGATTAAATGGCTAAGTGTGTTAGGTCTAACTCTTAGTGTGTGTTCTGCTCCGCTCACCGGTCCGTCACAGCAGGTGGAGCTGCAGGATTTCTGCTTCACACACGTTGCAAACCGCTATTTTATTGTCATTTTCGGACACTTAAAATACTGCCAGACTGGTGAAGCCCTTTTGGCGAGCTTGTTTTGGCGAGCTTGTTTTATCCGCGCACAGAGAAAAGTGTCATGTATTTTACGTCATGTGATCGGCTCTCCTTATCGGCCTTTATAGAGAGCACCGATCTATCGGCAAAGAGTGAATATCGCCGATAACGATCGGCGCCTGATCGATCGGAGCATCCCTATTGGGAAGCATAAAAAGTGTTTCTAGGGGACTATGTTAGAGTGGATGTCAGTGCTATGAGGCAGGCCCCGCTCTGACATCTCTCTATATTTGAATGCAGGGATAATCAGTTTGCTTTGCCACTTTTGCTTTTTTTTTTCGACCGATCAGATGCTCCTGGAGGACCCAGGTCTAAGGTCTACAGGACAGACCAGACCTCGGTACCGATATCTATGGCATACTTCTCTGGCACTTTTATTCTTTTAATTCAAGCTCTATTTTATGCTATTTAATGCACTCACAAAGAAAAACAATGTAGCCTAACAAAGTACAATAAATAAGGGCATTTTAACTAAATGTTTATATGAAATGAAAACTATATAAAATATAATTACATTTTTATTAAATGTAATGACCAGATATTTGATTATAACATGAGATTTAAATAACTTCACAAAATAAAGGTATCCTTCCTCTACTTCCATTATTACTATTATCTTCATTGTCTTTATTATTCTTATTAAAAGTTATATAATTCCTTTTGCACAGTTCATTGCTCATTTTATCATTGCACTTGTTATGGTTGCCTCTCACCTCCGTCGCCATAAACAATCAGCTCTGTAGGGTTAATTGAGACAACACATTGACTATTCCAAGTTGAAAGGCTACCACATGTTAACGAGCCTGGGCCAAATGTCAACTAATACAAATTGCAAACAGTTACTCGATCAGAATCTGTCCCCCAGGTGTTCCCCTCTTACCTCCATCGCCATAGGTCTCCACGCCATATCCGTCCTGCAGTCCGTTACTCCAGGTGCCCTCGTACCTGGCCGGTGTGTTCAGGCTCTGCCGGACTCCGTACCGGCCCTTGAACCCGTGAGTCCACTCTCCCCGGTACACCCATCTCCCCTTGCTTTCTACGCCGAGTCCGTGGCGTTTCCCCTGCGCCCAGTAGCCCTGGTACAGGTTCCCGCTGGGCCAGGTGTAGACGCCGACCACCTCGAATCCGTTGGACCAGGAGCCCGAGTACTCACCCTGGCCCTTGGGTCCGGTGCACACACCCTGGCCGTGGGCTTTGCCGTCCTCCCAGCCTCCGCAGTAGGTGCCACCATCGTCAAAGTCGAACCGACCGCCCGTCATTCAGAAACGGAGGGTGAAGTACTGCTCGGTGGCGTATTCTGAAGTCCAGAGTGCGAGTTGTTTTCGGGTGTTATGATGACAGGGGTCCCTGGTGAGGAGAGGGGCTCTCAGCGGAGGTGCGAGGAGCGAACGGCCAGTGATGGCGGCCGGGCGCATCAGCAGCTCAGGCGGTTACTGAGAGCGGGACGTGGGAGGGTGAGAGGCGGCCGCCACGGCTGCCAGAGTCGCTCCACTGCTGAGGGCTGGAACACTCGCCAACCCTGAAATGAAGACTGACAAGATACAAGCAGTGAGACAGGGTGGTCTTCCTGTCTGAGTTTTCATAATAAAAGCCAGACATTCAACTCGTGTTTTCCAGAGGGTCCTGTTGCTCAGGTCTCACTGCAGAAGGGAAAACAACTATCAGGTTAAAGAGCAAGGCAGGGACGTGCACAGACATTTGGAGGGGCTATTGCTCTAAACTGGAAAAAGGGCCTCCCCCCCCCCCCCCCCCCCCCCCCGGAAAAAAAACATAAGACCTTTTGAAAATTCTTACTTGTTTTTAATGTAAAAGGTTCATAAAATAAAAACACAACACTGTCATTGAAAGTGACACTCAGTTGACTTTTATGTCAACTGCTAAATTCGTTATTCAGGCACATTTTTTGTTTTGCGGTCCATATCTCATTAAAATATTTAATGTTAGTAACTATTAAAGAAAAAATGGGGACAATCCTGTTTTAATGTAGTTTGGTCATTATAACTGCTGTGCAGACATAGGCTGATAAAATAGGGCTTCTAACTAATTACCTTAAATAAACTCACTAATGAAACCAGTTCAATACACTCTATCCACTGAGCCACAGCCGCCACCACATATATCATATGAGGCCGGAGGGCTTTCCTTTGCTTCCAGCTGTCAGATTGTAAACTAAGTCACGTGACTGGGGGCAGATGACAGCGCTGACAAGGTGTGACAAACCATTAAACCAACAACATTAAAGGCATCTTTATGTACCTCTACAGTATTGCAAAAGCTCAGTTGAGAACATTGTCATGATGTTCAATTTAATTGAACAGTAATGCAATATTTGCATAGGTGAGCTGTGCAAACCTATCATAATTAATGTACTTAAAGTATAATACTGAGTTTGTGCCATTGTGTTATTTTCAGTAGTTTATAATTTAAAATTACAAAAATAATCATATATTTTTTTAAATAGAGTGTTTTCAATTGACTTAGAAACACTTTAAACATACAGGTACAATTAGCATTAAAAGACAACACATTCAACATGTAGAACACACAACTTTATTTACACACAGTAGTTCTGAAAAGGATTGTTCTGATTTGCGGTTTGATCATAGACATATTTGTTTGTAACAGATGTGTTAGGGGAGAAAGTAGCAGGGGGAGCGACCATAATGCTAACACTCACATAGGAACTTATATTGACTTGAAATTTGGCACAGACTTCCAGCTTGATGTGCTCTACAAAAATGCCCCACATTTTTTTTCTACATTTCGAAAAACATTGTTCAGACACACTTAACCATATGCCCAAACTGCACATGCATGTGGGCAATAGGCAAATATTCCTATTAGTAGCAAGCATTATATAGCAACATTATTTTCTATAAAAGATCAAGAAATGTGCTTTTATTTTGAAAGCAGAAACAGCACTCAGCCTGCATGCTTCCGGCTAACTTTGGGCAGCTTAGTGTGGTCTGCAGGCCGTCACACATTCACACAGAGGGTGATCAACAGTTTCCATGTTACATCTGTTACATCAATTATCCTGACAGCATACACATGTCAGGGATTTATTGATACTAACAGAAATTCAAATACTACTTCAGGCTTTTACAAAATGAAGGTCAAAAATCTAAACAAAATGCAAACGTTATATTCCGAAAAGTGTAGATAAGTGAAAGCATAGCTTTGCTTGGTCTTACACTGCCTGGTACATTTGTATTGTTGTATTTATACATTTGTATGATACTGGTAATGTGGTGTTTAGCAGATGCAACTCTGTTCATCTACTACTTGATGAAAAGTAATATAAATGTTGGTCATTATAATTACTACAGTTGCCTGTCATAGTTTGGAACTTGAAAATGCACTACTGATGTACAATTCTATTTCCATTCTTTGTTAGACATGTAATACATTTGCAGAGGTGGGAAAAGTACTCTCTTGTACACCAGAGTGTAGGAATACTCTGTTACAGTAAAAGTCCTGAATTCAAAATGTTTCTCAATTCAAAGTAGAAAAGTATTATCATCAAAATATAGTTAAAGTAGCGACAGTAAAAGTAGTCATTGTGCAGATTGGTCCATTTCAGAATAATATATATGATATGTTTTATAATGATTGATCATTAAAGTGTTCTCAAAGCTGGTAAAGGTGCAGCTAGTTTGAATGACTTTGTATACTGCAGGGTAGCTTGTGGATTTACTCCAGGTGGAACTAAAGTCTGATTTAACACTTGGTTATATTTCACATCATTCATCCACATCTGTAAAGTAACTAAAGGTATTAAATACATGTAGTGGAGTCAAAGTACACCATCTACCTCTGAACTGTAGTGGAGTAGAAGAACAAAGTAGCATAACATGGAAATATTGAAAGTGTCTCAAAATGTTACTTCATTAGAGTACTTGATGTACTTAGTTACTTCCTACCATTGTACATTTGTAAAGCAAATATTTACAACAAATGAATTGTTGTAAATGTGTTGTTTTGCAATTAAGTAGCAACAATTACCATTTCCCTTTATAATTCCGACAACTTCACAATACTATAGGTGGTATATGTATAATAACTTTATCTGATACTCTGGTCGCTCTGTTAACAGTCTGACTGGGAGGAACTGACTGACAGCTGTGCTGATAATATGATAAATAATATGAAGCCACTGGACAGTATAGTGTGTACCAATTCATGACTTCTAATCTCAAACAATCGAGACCATGAAGGCAGCAGCAGTCCACCTCATGACAGTGTCCTCAGTATGAGGACATCTCAAGGAAGGACTGTCATTTTATTGGATTGCAAACACTTCCACCTGCTCATCCTGAGGTTTTTAAAGTTACAGGAGGCTCAGATTGTTAGAATTCAGATCTTGTGCCGTTCTATTGTCGTTCATTATAACAAGGTTTAGTTGAGTACTTGATTCTGATTTGTCAATTTGGACATTCAGCTATCTCTGATTGCATATAACTCAGAAAGCTTGACTGCCATTTTCTCCTAATTCTCTAAAAGAGGAAGCCCAGGCAACACCATATGCAATGATTAAGATCAGTGTATATGTGGAATAGTGGTAAAACAATGTGCAGTGGACATCTGGCTGGCTGCTCCACATCTGTGCATGCTGCATTTGCATCGATTCAAATGACATGGTTATAAGAAAGAAACTATTATTTTCTCTAGTTTTGTTTTACCTTGTGTGAAGTGTTGTATTATATTTCAGGACACATTTTAGATACGATTTATTTAAATGTTTATTGTGGAATTAACAGATGTACATATGAACAGTGTATGCAAATGTTTTCAGGTCATTTTACCTGCTAATATCTATGGATACTATGGATTGTATCTGTGTTTTTTGTCCTTGGTTATGGAAATGTTGCATGTTCATTATGTTTCATGACTAAATAAAATTATATTTGATTACCAGCGTAATTGACAGAAGTAGTAATACCTTGCTCTAGCTGTAGTAGATAAACTGTGACACTAGATGGAGTCAACAAGCCGTCTGGATTTTAAAGGATTCACGAAGGAGACCAGGGACATGGATGGTGAGCGGAAATGGGCTTTTTTCTTTTATTTAGTGTTGTAACTCAATTTAAAATATGTTATTGCATTGTTCACAATAATAATCTGTGATTTATCTTGATTAATCACAAGTTTAATACTTGTATTTACCTGTATTTTGGGGGGAGATAAAACAAATACACGCGTGTTGTAATAAAGAAATGCATGACAAACTGGTAGGAGAAACAATAATATGACACTCATCTTTGTGAAAAAACGCTCTCACTGTGATTCCCAGTGTGAGCTGCATATACGTATGGTCTATTGTTACTGTGAGCACTATCTCTCCTTACAGTGCTGACCCTGTCCTCTATCTCACATTCCTGTGCAACTTCAAGAAACTGGAGAATGCTTCAGAAAAACACCTTTCCTCTGTTTTCATCACATCTACTGTAAGGAACGAGTGCAGAACATTTGTCATGCATCAGGAGTTCTGTTACAGCGAGATTGTGATGGTTCTTACTGATGTCTAGCGGTCTCCAGTCTGTGATATACATGCAGCCTGTGCCAATTGTTGGTAAAAATCAACGGAGGAATTACAGGAAATTGGGGTTGTACTTGGTAACGTGATTCATTTTATTATAATTTTTTGTTGTATAGTTAGGTTTCCAGATTTATCAAAAGCGAGAGTTTTTCTCCTGAGACCCATCCATTCATTTTTGTCCTGTGTGGTGCACATTTGTTGGTCTATTACTTTGACAGCAAATATGCCACAGCATTCAATTACTTCACAGAGGACTTCCTTGTTTTTTTTAAGACATGTGACTATGTGGGTTTGTGACTTAAAAAAATGTTTTTCCTTGTATCTCAAAATGGCGTCCATCAACACAAGCACATTTTGTGGATTGAAAAATAGTACGTATGTCATTTTGTAATTAGCAGTGTTTTGAGGGAACATCTGAGTAGTTAATGAGTTTTCAGAGCAGTGTAAATATATGAATGTCCTCTGCGGAGGACACAGGGATGTGCTTACTATTTATTTCCCCTATTTTACACGATACAAAAGGAGGCAGCTAACAAACTGAGGCAGAGAGAATGCTGAACAGAATCAGTGAGGGAGACTCAGATATATTATCAGGTGAAGAGGATCCACAGGCAGTGATGGAGGAAGAGGATGATGTTGACAACTCAGAGGAGGAGGCATTGACTGAGGAAGAGCAGGAGACAGTTACAGAAGAGAGGGTCCGTCGTCCACTAGGGGCCAAAGCTAGCACGTGGGTTTCTGTAGGGTTGGGATGCAGCATTATTCAACCTACAAGGACTTCTGGAAATATAACTATAGTAGTACTAGTAGTATACGTGTACATTTCTCTCAAAACATTAAAGTTTGACTTTTGCTATTGTTATTGTTGGTGTGAAATAGGTATAGAATATATGCTAGGTGAAGTAGGGATAATATTTTAGACAATGATTT